GGAGGGTGACCCCTGCTGCCGCTCTGTGTCAGGTTCTCCCCCCATCCCCAGAAATCCCCTGGCCCATCCTGGGACCTGTCCATAAGATGGTTAAGGTGAACACCACAGGGTCTCCCAAAGTGTGGGGCCCGGAGCAGCCACCCCAAACCTTCCTTCTGACTACACTGCAGTTAAAAACCTATGGCTGGCTGTAGACATTCAGCCTCTGGCTGGAGACCAAGATCCATCACCTACACCACCATTAAACAGCCCTTTGACCTCAGCCCCGCAAGCCCACATCAGCTGACACAAGCCAACTGCAGGTATCTAATGTAGAGCAGACACTGAGTACATGTTAGGAGTGCCTATTTTTACACACTTCATGTATTCAGACATGTATTATTTACACGGGCACATTCACATACTTGGAGAAGTCCTGGGGCACTTTATAGACTAACAGATTTATTAGAGCATAAGCTTTCGTGGGCAAAGATCCACTTCATCAGATGCACGTAGTAGAAATTCCAGGGGCAGGTATAAATATACAGGCATAAGAAAAAACTTCCAATCAAGAGTAAGGCTAGAAATAACGAGGTCAATTCAGTCAAGAAGGATGAGATCCCCTTCTAGCAGTTCAAAGAGAAACTGCAGAGCTATAATTCATTTGCAAATTTGACACTATCATTTTAGGATTAAACAAAGACTGTGAATGGCTAGCCAACTACAAAAGCAGTTTCTCCTCTCGGTGTTCACACCTCCACATCAGCTGTTAAAATTGGGCCTATCCTCCCTGACTAAATTGACCTTGTTATCTCTAACCTTACTCTTGATTGGAACTCTTTTCTTCTGCCTGTACATTTATACCTGCCTCTGGAATTTCCACTACGTGCATCTGATGAAGTAGGTCTTTGCCCACGAAAGCTCATACTCCAATAAATCTGCTAGTCTATAAGGTGACACAGGACTTCTCTTTGGATTTGCAGATTCAGACTAACACGGCTATCCCTCTAATACTCAAATATATGGGATATTCCAGCACTTTGTTTAATGACTTAATACAATGTTTCTCATCCAGTGGTAGGAGTACCCTTAGGGGTAATCGAGAGAAGTCTGGGGGGTACGTCAACACAACTTAAATTTGGAGAAAACTGAATTTTTGTTTTAAGTTTTACAGCGCTTTATTATTTTTGTACTTTTTACACCCAAAAATTTCATTGCCTGCCAGGCTACGATTAAGTTGTTTAAACAAATGTGTTACAATGGTAGAAAAAAATTGTGTGTCTGAAAACTGTAAATACTGGGGGTACTTATAATTTTTTTAAAGGAGGTACTTGAGAAACACTGAGCTAATACACCTAATTATCTCTGCTCACCATGGACAGTGGTGCATGAGTATTAACCATTCTGAGACAGCGAAAGGAAGGGTCTGCCTGTGTGATTTTTCTAATTTACAAAACGATTTGGACATGCAGCTTTTATCTTGTTTGGAGAAGCAAGCATACTACATTGTAACCTTTCATGCATATCAATATTCCCTATCTGGAAAACGTAACCTTGTCTCAAAAGTGCGCATAGAAAAACAACTTTCAAGACAAAGGAACCTTTCAGTAAGTTTAGTTGCCATGTGTTAAAGATAGATGAGAGGTCATTAGGAAGCTGCTTTTCCAGCTTTTTTACTGCCTTGACCTTGTTTATTTCTGAAAATTCTCAACCACTCAACATGTCCATGAAAGTTGCTGGATGAGCTTTCAATTCTTAAGCCATTTTTCACTGATAATGAATGTGAATGTTGTTTCTAGAGCATTATTAGCTACGGAGACTCACTGTTTTCCCCTTGTTTGCCTCCTTTTCTTCTCATCTGCCCAATGAGGATCTACACAAATGGAGTACTTAAAAAAATGGCATGCATTTATCAAGGTTGCTCGGTAACAGCTACACAGAAGACCAACAGTCACAAATTTGGAATAAGTTTGAACCAGCTGGGATTGGGCAGGAATCTTCTGCCTAAGATAAATTATTGCATAATTCACCAGGTGCATTGTGGGGCTTTGCCTTCCTTTTAAGCATGTCTAATATATAAGCAAGATACTAAACTCTTGGTATTCTCCAATAAAACAATTTCTATGGTTGTGTTCCAGAACTTCAATTTAAACTAGCCGGAAAAGGTAGTTTTATATTGGATGTCCAACTGCAAAATTATACACTGGATATTGCTCAAGTGTAAACTGGCTTCAGTTTTTATAATTGTGAAACAAGGGGTTTTAAATAGTATTTAAAACGAGTAATCTGCTGCTTGAATTTACCTGAAGTCCAAAGAAAACCATCACCACTGAGCTGATTGTGCCTAATACACCTTCAGGATCAAAAGGTTTTGTACCGTTCCTGCAATAAAGGAAAATAGAACATCTTGTTAGTATTAAGCGAAGGACTTTTAGACTAGAGGAAGCAGTGGTGGGGGAAGAATATTAATGTGTGTGATCGTTCATTCTTTTCTTTCAAGTTGCTAAGAAAAAAACTTTGTTAAAACAGTGACTTTCCCATACACATTTCAAGATCATGAAATAAGTTTAATCTGTCAGTTGTAAAGAGTTAGTATCACTGGCTAAATTGTTAAACTAGGGAAGGCTACATCCCTCCTGTGCAGATTTGATAAACTCCCCATGCATACACGCAAACTGGACTATTTGACATTAAATGGAAAAGTTGGGCTGTCATCTCAAAACACTGAATTTTGTGTAAATTCACGCACTCAAAACATAGGTGTGTTTACTAGGGCGCTGGTGCAAGTGTACATAATTAGCCCTGCCCTGGGAGCTCCAATCAAGGGGAACAGATTGGGGCTGATGAAATTGTCTGATGCTAGCCTGAGGATTGGCAGCACCTGCCAGCCTGATGACCCAAAAGCTATATAAGGTGGGAAGGAGGTGGATGTGGAGGCAGACGGTGAGGGAGAGGTCAGTCAGGATATGCCTACACTGCAGAGGGTTTTTTTTTGAAAATCAGCTGTTTTTAAAAAAAAAACCTTCATTTACATCTACACAAAAAGTCGAAAGAACAGAGGGGTTTTCTGACATCGGTAACACAAATAGTCGAAAGAACAGAGGGGTTTTCTGACATCGGTAAACCTCTTTCTACGAGGAAGAACCCTTTTTCCAAAGAGCTCTTTCAGAAAAAGGCGTGTGTGGATGGGGAAACAGGTTTTCTTTCTAAAGAAGAGGCCCCCAGGAAATAACACAGGTGCCCTGGTGGCCACTCGGTTCAAAGTAATCAGAACTCTTTAGTTCCTGTCTCCTGGCACCTCTTAAAGCTGCAGGCACCCTGGACAAGCCGTGTGGCAGGAAGCCGGCCCTGGAGCAGCACCTGACCCTGCACCCAGCCCAAGCCCTCTGAGACCCCTCTGGCCTTCAGAGGGAGCAGTTCCAGGGGTCCCAGGAACCACCCAGGGGTACCAAGCGGCAGGCACCCTCCTGGTCCGGAGCAGAGATCCTGTCCCTCCTCGAGCTGTGGGGCGAGGAGAAACATTGCAGGATCTCTGCATCAAGCGCTGCAACACGGACATCTTTGAGTGCATGGCCAAGTCCCTGGCAGAGCGCGGACACCCACCCTGGAGCTTGGAACAGGTCTGGAGTAAGGTAAAGAAGTTCTGCCAGGGATACGTCTGGGCCAGAGAGTGCAGCTCGCACTCAGGGGCAGGACCCCACACCTGCCCATTACCAGGAGCTCCACCAGATCCTGGGGTGTGGAGAAACGTCTTCCCCACCTCCCTGTTATGAGGAGCTGCACCAGATCCTGGAGGTTGAGGAAGCCCTTTCCCCACCTGTGGTGGTCGACTCCAGCCTTGAGACGCCTGTCGTCACCCCGCCGGAGATCACAGAGGAGAAGGATGACGAGGGACTGCAGGGGCAGGAGAAGGAGGACACAGGGAGTACCGTGGAGCTGAGCCTGGAGCCTGTACCCCTGAGCCAGGACGTGTCGCAGGCATCATCTGACAGCGGGGAGGGATCATCAGGTGAGTGCTCTCAGTTTCCACAGACACAGGGCGGGGGAGGCGGGCACACAGAGGTTGGGCTGCGATCGTCACTCGGCCTGGACATCGTGCTGCAGTCCGTGCACATGGAAGCACGTGCGGCGGCAGTGTGCAGCATGCGGACTCAGGAGGCAGCCCCGGAGCACCCCCGGGATCCTGCTCACAGGCTCAGGGGAGGCCACACACACGTCTGGGGGGTGGGGACGTTCTCCCACCACCAGCCACCACTGGAAGCAGGCTGGCCACAAGGGCATAGGCACGACACCACACAGTCTGAGGAGAGCTGCACACAGCACATGGGCATGCCTGCCTGCGTGAGGCACCACCCGCTCCTGCGGACAGCGCTGCCAAGCACAGGCGTGTGTGCGGTCCCCAGGGAAGGCCAGGCTGCTTCAGGCCCCTCTACAACCTATGGGATCCCACTGTGGCCAGACACTTGCCTTGCCTGCTTGTCCATGGGGAGGTGGCAAGGACTCCCCACATCCTGCAGGGACTGCAGCCCAAGAGTGTCTTATCTCCATGAGGAAGGCCTGACGGTGGACTTCCCCATGCTGAACTGGTTGCCCATGGACTGGTAACTGTCTGGGGTGATGAGCTTCCAGATGGCAATTGTGAGCCACTTCTCCAGGAGGATGGCGGGCCACAGGTGGGTGTCGCATCATCGGAGGAGGCAGGGTGAGCCAGGCACACAGCTCCAAAAAGCTGGCCTTCTGCATGCGGAAGTTTTGGAGCCACTGCTGGTCGGTCCCACCAGTCGGGAACTGGTGTTCAGCCTCCAAAACCGTCTTTCCACTGTGGGGTGCGGTTGCAAGGACCTTGCTCCCACACCCAGGGGGAGGGTCTCAGGAATGAGCTCTGTGTCTCGCTCATGCAGGGCCATGAAGGCAGCCTGCAGAAAATGCAGCATGGCCGTGTGGGGCCATCTCATGCCCAGGGGCAGCTCCGGCTCCATGGCGAAAAGAAAAATGCTGTGGCACCCAAAAGCTGGGCAACCAGAGCAGGCACTGTAAGAGCTTTGCTGTCCCTCAGAGAGGTAGGCCAAGCACGCAGCAGAAGCAGAGAAATGGCTGTCCAGGGGGGCTCCTTTAAGCACATCTCTCAGCTCGCCTTAGGCAACAGCACTGGAAACTACTGCTGACCTAGAGCCCTGCCTGAACTAGTTTGGGTGGCCTTATATGTGAGATAGCGTCCAATCAATGTGGACGCAATCTTTTGAAGAAGCAGATCTCTTTTTCTATGCACTTTTGCTGTGTAGACGTTCTCTTTCAGAAGTTTTTCCGGACGATCTTTTCCGGAAAAGCTTCTTTCGAAAGATCTTTGCAGTCTAGATGTAGCCTCAGAGAGGGGGCTGGAGGCCTTCTAGCTGAAGGCTGACTCTGCCTGTAAGAGGTGAAAACCCTGCAAAGTTTGGCACTGGTGGTGAGACAAGCAAAGATGAATAAAGACACGGGTGTTGCACAATCCTGGGGCTGATTTGAAAGGGCAACCAGCCCCCAAGGTGGGGGAGTGGGGACTGGTCGCGTGCCTTGTTACAGCGTGTATTTCCAGAGGGCCTGCAAAGGCTTATATAATCACTACTATGTCCTTGGTGATGTATCAGACAAAATGAAGAGGTAAATGATACTTTTTTTAAAACCGTGCCAGGGTTACTTGGTTCTGAAGGGAAGGTGAGAGGGATTTGGAAAGAGGCTACCATGCCACCCATAGGCTGACAACAGTCAGCTCTGTAATTTCATCTCAACAGACCTGGACAGAGTTATTTCCTCCTCTGTAGATAGCAGAGAGGCCTCTGGCTGTACACCAGCTGGCTCAGACTCCTATCCGGATGGGTTCAAGAGGATGCTGTTTCACAAGGGGAGGCATTTTGAAAATTGAAAAAGTAAGGGCCAAATTCATCTACTGATCTCAACGTCCTGCAAGATTCCTCCCTGCTGCTGGATTTCCAGGGAGCAGCAGAGTGTGCTGTTTTCATTTAGCTTCTCCGGACCAAGAGGCTGACTCGTTCCTCTAGAATTCCATAGTAATCCCTGCCTCAGACTAGCATGCTCTACCTCAGACTAACTCTCAAGGCTACTCTTTCAGCTTGTGATCCTCTGGGACAAATGAAGTCACAAAGAATGCTCCAGATAAATGTCTCAGAGTGAAGCTTGAGAGAGCCAAGAACAGAGCAGGCTCTTGACTCTGAAATTCCAACCTGCCAACTTCATGCTTGAAATTGGTGTTTTTTGAGTAGAACATCTTGCATCTCGCAGCGGTCAAATTTTTTGAAACTCCAGCTATGGGCTGCTATCTGCTATCATCATGGATCACCAAAGGAGCTCAGTCATGGCTTCTGTAGAAAGCTGCAAATCCACTGTGGAGGACTTTCTTTTGCTTCCTACCCTGAACCCTGATGAAGTGTTGTTGTGTATTGTTAAAAGCTACTGGCTACGAATGGTCAGAAAACATTTCTATATTGTGGAAAATGTTTCGAAATTGGTTTTAGTACACCAAAAAAAAGCAAAATAAGAGCGAGAGACACTGGCAGAAGATAGCCAATAGCCCAGTGGTTTTAGCATATACCTGGTATGTGGAAGACCATGGTTCAAGCTGATTCTCCAAAGCAGGCAAGTGGGTTCCTCTGTCTGTTAGAGAGAAACCAAATATTCCGTCCTGGACCTCAGAAACTTTCCCATTGAAACTTTCATCAAAATCAATGCATTTCCACACCGCATTTAGGTTTCAATAAGAAACTTTCATCGTAAATTTCCCCTGTACCACTGGCCACAATTTTTCACTTCATGGTCGGCTGGTACTAATTTGGGCCTGACCTAAAGCCCACTGAAAATGGTCGGAGTCATTCCATTGACTTTAATTGCCTTTGAATCAGGCTTTCATCCCAGACTTGTTGGAAAGGGGAGATATGGGAGTTAATTCAACCATGCTCTGTAATCCCTAAGTGGACTATACATTACATACTTACTACTACTCACCATGCAAGGCAGCATGAAAGCCAGAGAAGAACAGGGAGCAGGACAGCTGTAGTATCCAAAGCTACAATTTATGAGGATGAGCAACACCTTAAGTAGAGGCCAAAATTTGAATGCCCATACCCTTAATTTCATATATTAAGACAAACTGAGACTATGTTAATTCTGCCATTCCATCTAAAATGGGGGTCTCAGACTCCTGGTCCAGGACTTCCCAAGCACTTCCTTAAGTTATTTACTCAGATCCGTATGGCTGCTGGCCTTGGGGGGAGCACGCACCCAGCAGCATCCAAGACAGTGGGGTGGGGCCAGTGAGTTTTGCTTTCAGTTATCCCAAGCCTGGGCAAGGGATCCCAGTGTGATGGTGCAGATGTTAGCCGGGGAGG